TAAGTCATCCCTGATAGGTTTGATAGTCTACTAGGGACAAAAATGAATCAGGTAGCTTTCTGTTTCTTCCTTTATCTCTGCTTCACACAGAATCCCAGATTAGTTGCCTCAAGCTCTTCCCCTGGTCTCTGAACTTTTGGATCTAATCAGCTTGGATAGCAGTGAGCCTAACTTCTTCAGAGCTATGCTTGGCCTCCTGAAGGGACAATCTCCTATGGAATGCAAACTGGCTCCCTCCATTCAAACATGGGTCAATGCAAGTGAAAGCACAAAAAAGTTGGGTGTTAGGCCATGGATACCTCTTCCTTACTCTGAGTGCCACTCTTCCCTGTTATGTGGAGCAGTGGGCAGGGTGCCCCCAACCAGGATCAAGCACATAGTTTACAAGCGGGAGAGCATGCTCCTTTCTGATGTCTTCTTATACCCTGTATTTCCAGTTTACCAAGTGGCTGGAGATCTTCATCTTGGCTGTCAACATGTAGACATGGTTATTTTGAAATACGCAATCCAAACAAGGAATCCCAGATATTTACCTCATAGGATAGATTTGGATTCTGTCGCTTCAGCACTATATAAACTAAAATACTAAAACAGCTTTTTTGTTTTTTCTTTTCAGCATCAACTTTTCCTTTAATGTCAGAATATTTCTGCTGCATCAGTTGCCTCCTTGGGCCAAATATTAGGTACAATTTATGCTAACCCAGTTTATTTCTACTGAAAGAAGATCTTTGCTTATCATGTCTGTCCTTTCCTCCCTAAGAGACAAACTAACAGGTAAAACCTGCCTACTTGAAGAAGTTGAGGTTCTCAACAGATGACTGAGTGCAGTGCTAGGGACAGTCTCATGAGCTAGTTGATAAAAACAGACATTTTTCATCTCTTCCCTATAACACCAAAATTCTTCCAAGGAAAATATCAATCTGGTTAACCGCTAACTTTACCTGCTCCCAGGACTGCTAACTTCAACACAACCTCTAATTCCTCAACTACTGTAACTATAGATAGTAAGCCACTAACAATGGAGAAAAAGAAAATAAATAAAAATGGAAAAACCCTTCCTTTCATGCACAAGTTCTTTTCTACAAGTTCGTTCCCATAGGTTCCTAATTCTTGCTGAAAAATGGTATCATTAAGCTTGTCAGGAGAAAGCAAAACACTGATATATTTCTTCCTAAAGGGCAGTGTGTAGCTAGTAGCTGACAAAGATTTGTGAATATAAGAAATAATCATACAGATTTACTTCTGGCTCGGTTACCCCACTTCCATAAATGTGCCCTTGTCTCAAAGTGGGATAACAAAGATCACCCACCAAAGTATAGAAAGACAAACCCTAGAACGGGTATAAACTACTAAATATTCTCATCTCTTTTCATTCTTGTTTTTATGACTCAAAATATATGTATACATTCGTGTGGTAATAAATGTTTACCTCTAATCACATTTACCCTGGACACTGTTAATTCATGGCAAAAGAGTCAATGAAATGAGAATGCATCAAAAAGCCTCTAGGGAATGGTTTCTAAGATTCAGGGCAGGAGCCTCTACAAAGCGGTTTCAGATGGTAGAACCAACTACCTGTTCCATTTGGTTATCTCAAAAGCACATCGAATGCAAGGTGTTATAACCAAGTTCATCATGTTCCTCCTCCATCCTCATCCTGTTCCAGGCTTCCTCTAACTCACTAACTGGTGTTAGTTGTGAAAGCCAAAAATCTACAAGCCATCTTTAACTCACCCCTTTCCTCATTCACCCTAGCCCAACCCATTATCAAGTCATATCAGTTTTATCTACTTTATTACTCTGGAGATGGCCGCTGCCACCACCACCACAACTGCTCACCTCACCATGGTCTCCTAAGTATCCACACTAACCATCAACAGCCCTCTAGAGTCTATTCTTCACATTAATGCAGGTTATTCACTTTCCACTCAAATTTGCAAACAGTACTTTGAAATAGTTCGCAAACACCGAAGAAAAAAAATAAATGCATACATTATAAAGCATAATAAAATGAGTATTTCCATTTTACTCATACTACCACATTTTGGGGCGGGGGGAGCAAATGTAACTCCCCTGCATAAAATCCACATAATTCATCCACAGAGGTATTTTGGTTCTTAGGTTATGGCTGCCACTTCTTACCTGAAGATCTTCACTGTTACTATTTAAATATGCTCTCCCGCTTTCATTTTCTGCCCTCCTAACTTCTCTTACACAACTCTTCCCAGGGTACCCAGGGTTTTCCTTCACAAGCACTTACACTAGAAATGGCATATTTATGACTGTTAGAAGTCTAAAAGCTCTGTCTTGGCACAGACTGAATCTTTTTTGCTTGTCATTGCAAGGACTGTACCCACGTAATACACCGGCATCAGTAAATGTTTGTTAGACGATGAGACGTGAATTGGCTAAACTATGGGCGGAGAACAGGGGAAGGAAAAATCCTTAGAATTTCCTGTGTGGTAGAGTCATTTCATGTGAAAGGGGCTTCTCCCCATCAGTGAATCCTACCTTTAATGAATTCTAGCCCATGGGGTAGTATATGTATCCTAAGAATTGCCTAATTTGATTGCATCGGCTTTAGACATGTTTCACGAACTTCAACCAGCGGGCCTCTCCGTATTATCTCTATTCATTTAGCTATAGTCTATGCACAACTGCCCTTAGGACTAGCGCTTTAAAAGTTCACATCTTTACTTTGGCCTCGCTCAACCAAGAAGGTGTACTGGGAACCAAAATTAAAAGCTCAATAAATTATCTATTGCTACTATATTGTTGGAGAAATTATAACTGAACACAGGTTTGCGTTAAGTATATATACTTTAAGTAAATATTCTATAGCTATAAATGTGAATGTAAAATAGTGGATTTACAAGTATCCTTTGCCATGGATCAGCTATAAGCCAAGTTTTTAACAATGTATATATACTTCTTAAATAAGTATCTTAAGAAACTAAAACATGAAGCACTGATTCTCACAATCACCTAGAAACAAATTTTTATTCTTTAAAGCCAGGAGAAACTATTCTTTATGTAAAAACTGAAGTTACTTCTATCTTACAGGTTATTTTATATATATATATATATATATATATATATATATATATATATATATATATATACAGAGAGAGAGAGAGAGAGAGACTGTATTTATTAGGCCCACAATTTTGACTGGGATTTAAATTCAGGTTCTGCAGTTTCTGGCAATGACTCCTAGAAAACTCATTTAGTTTCCTCATCTAGGAGAGAGGAGCATTGCCTGGTTAACAGGACTATCTGAAGTTCAAACAAAGTAACATATTAGGAAGCACCAGTCACAGTCTGTACTTGGTAAAGGTTAAAAAAATTAACAGAAACTTTATAGCATTGTAGCATATACAGGTTATAAAATCCTATAAAGGTAGTAAGTTATAAATAAAACACAAACCCTAGAGTATCTCTTGTTTATATTAAAGCAAATGGTCATAAAATCTTGGCCCAAACCCTAGAATAAACCTACAGCAGCAAGTAAAATAATCTGGTTTCAAGGAGGAGGAGTGCGCACAAAAGCTGCATGCTCTCTGGCTGAGAAGGTTATCACGGACTTGTACGTGTTAACTATCTCAGTGTTAATACTTATTTTTTAAAAGCTTCTGAAAGTTTTGCTCACATTATTTTTGTTTTCCAAGATCAAGCACAGAGAAGCCTTTCCTCTCTTTCCTCTTCTTTCCCTTTTGTAGCTCTGACCCTCTCTGCCCATGAGAGCACTAGGTACTGCACACAGGGCCTGCCAGGTGAGTGCTCTGGGCTGTGTGCTCGGGTCTTCTGCAGTAATGACTTCAAATGCTTGACCTAACTTGACCAAACTGCAACCTTCCCTTCATTCTCCTCAGCGGAAGTTGTGTGCTATAATTCATTTGAAACACTGCCCCTTTCAGATGGTGACTTGGTCAAATGTATCTGGCCTCTTCTGCCTCATGCACAAGCATATCTTTACTGTTTCTTTCAAGTAAAATGAGCAAAAGATGTGAAGAAAACTCTTGTCAGTCATTTCTGTAGACCTCAGCACAACTATTTTGTCCATTTTTCAATATAATGTATTTTCTCGGCAATTTAGATACCAAGATAAGACTTAAATTTAACATTTATAAATATTTAAGGAAAAAAAAGAATCAATTTGGAAACTTTATCAACAAGTTATCAAAACAAAGGTTTGTTTTTTGACATTGCATGTACAATATTCTATGGTTTGCCATTACTTCCTCTCTAGGAAGAAAGGTAAAATGAAAAATACAGTATAGAAGTAAGTCATTGGAAGTTCGGTAGTTTTTCTCAACACTTAAAGAGACACGAGTCAGAAAAAGTGCAATCGAACAAACCAACTGCAGAAGCCATTTTGCAACAAATTTGAATATGGACCACATATTAGATGATATTAAGTAATTATTATTTTTGTTAGGTGTAAAAACACCATTATAGTTGTGTTTTTGTTGTTTTTAAAAAAGATCTTATTGGTCAGAGACACAAACTTAAGTATTATACGTAAAATGATTCATGTGGGAATGCATTAAAATATTCCAGCTTAAAAAAATCACATTATGTGTGTTGTAGTGGTGGTGGGATAGAGAGGTAACAAATATAATAGACCAGAGTATTCTAATATTGCTGTTAATATATATATATAATAAACAAAATAGCAGAATTTCATGTCTCTATATAAGTGGCACCTGGTGTAATGCACCATACAGACCAAAAAAAAAAAAAAAAACCCAAAACAGTACTTAGGTTATGCACTGCTAAGCACACCTGTGACTTGTGAGAGTCAATCTAGTGTCAAAATGTTAGGGGGTGTATGCGTAATATGTAGGTAGGAGAATGGAAAGAATACACTGGTATCCCAGGATCTCCTACAACTCAGAGAAAGGCAGAAGGGGAGGTAAGAGAGCTGCGATATTTGTCTATATTAGAATTAAGGTATTATGAAAACAGAAGACAAATTTTGAGTGAGAAACTCTTTCTATGCCAGACCTGAAGCCACCGTATTCTCCTCATCCTTTATTTCTGTGGTGTTAGCGTATCACCAGAAACTCTTGATAGAATAAAATCCTCAACATTCGAAACACTCATATCCAACGCAGTTCCAATCCATGAAAATAAAACATTCTTTATGTTGAATGCATTTTTATGCATTTAAGTACAACAATCTAGACATTTTTCATGTAGGACTCAAGTAGGAGCAAAAGTGAATTAAACCATTCAGATAAAAATGCAACTAAAGCTGCATTAGCTGCTTTGATGACTCATGAGAACATTTATACATATACTATTATATGTGATACTCCATCCACATAAAAAAGGCATTCTATTTCTTTATTTTTTTTATTTGACAAGCAGCAATATCATGTTTGTCATTTTAATGTAGATACAATTATTATGTTATCTGTCATATTACAATATTTAAGTTTTTTATTTTATGTTCTTTAAGATACATTAAAAAAAAAAACACATCAACTGCAAACGTGAAGGGGAGAAAAAGCATGGTACCCAACCAAATTCCCACATTTCAGCAATACTTCACTCATTCTTTTAATAAAGTTTAAGAAATGTCATAATGACATGAGCTTGAAATATCTCTAGGCATTTTCTCTGACGCTCATGACGTGGCACTGGTGATGTTGTAAACAGCAGAAAAACAGGGGCTGCCAAATGACCAAATTATGGAGGCACAGGCCTGCTTTTTCCCACAGGAACACACCAAATGGTGATGGCAATGATCTTCTCACACTCACACTAGAGGAGAGCGACATCACGCTACGTAACTGTATTCATCTGCTGACGCTTGACTGCGTTCGATGTACTGTTTGTCTATCAGAACTTCAATACACTTCTTAATCATGCTGATACTAGGATTAAACCTCGCTCTTGACTGGCTAATCACCTGTGTAAGAGAGACATGGATGTCAAAGTACTGCTAATTAGTAAGCTACAAATAATTACTTTTAACCAATCAGCTGTGAAAGTGCCTCAGATGTACTGAGGTCCCGTCAAACAGACCTAACCCATGTGGGAAAAATGTACTTAAAGTAGTTATGAAATCATACTGATTAAAATGAATAAAATCATCCTAAATGGATGGATGTGATACATCAAGCAAATGAATCCCATGAACAGTCCTGAATTTTTTAAGCTCGGATGGCAGTGCACAAGGAGAGAGGAAACAATGAGCTCAAGGTTTGATGACAAAAAAAAAATTTAATGCAAAATAAGGAAAAAGCCTAATGTTTCTGTTGTGAAGGAATTACAAAGCAGAACACAGAGCAAAATCCAATAATATTCATCCATAACTAAATTAAACTATAAATTAATTCATCTATCTAAATACACATTCCACACGCTCCAGCTCCTACTTAACCTCACTGACCTTCCAGGTCCTAGCTGAACTAAACACTTTCTCAAGAAAGCTTTCCCCAACATCCTCTGAGTCAATACTTTCGTGTACATTCTTATACTACTGTAGCTCTTTTTCAGTGCATGTTAATCTAATTTTATATTTTGCTTGCATACTATTTCAATAATGTAGTTCTTTCCTATTAGAAGGTGAACTTCAAAAAGGCAGGAACCACATCTTGGGTTACTCTGCATCACATCCCTAATGACTAGCACAGCACTATATCACATGTAGACACTCATCTATTTATGGAATGAATGAATATTTGAAATCATCAACTTCCTCCAATAACTGGACAAAAGGCTCAAAATATTGGTGAACTTCAGGCCTCTAAATCTGAGCCAAAGCAAACCTGAACTTAATACTGAAATTGTAAGTAAGTACTGTTTTCATTAAGTAATGAGGCATTTCTTTATGTTCTTTTGGAATCCTATTATTTATGTACCATTTGACAAAGAAACATTCCTAATCCATTCATTGATAATACTGGTTATCCCAAAAAGCCTTGAGGGCTTCCCCTCCTTTTACCTCTTGAATAAGGGCATTATGCCGAAGTACTTTTCGTGCTTTCATGATACGAACTATAGCAGCCTGGAGATACATTTTCCGGTCCTCATCTACGGCACTTCTCGTCTGCTCCATTTCCTGTTTCACAGGGGGGAAAAAAAAAGCAAATGAGACATTAAGTCACTGAATCTGAATCTTTCATAATTCATTTTATCAGTGAGTTTACATAAACTTCCCATCAATACTGAGCATCAAATTACACAGTTATCATGTGCCCATGATCACATAACCATTACCAAACGAGTATCTACAGTGAGTTATTTATAGTTTCTTGGGTTAAAGTTGGAAGGATATAAAAAAAAATTAACACTCTTGTAAAATGTATTTCATGTAAACAAGCAATAAAGTAGAACCTAAATGACACAGAACAGTTAATTTTCAAGATTTCTCCTTGAGATTCTCTCTCAATCTTCCTCTGCTGCTCTCCCTTCAAATAAGTAAATAAATAAATAAAATCTTTTTTAAAATAAAAGATAAAATACAATCCTCAAATTACAAATTAGTATTCACTAGTGTAGAGAAAAATGGGATCGCAAACATTTTAGGGTTCAAATTTAATTAACAATTATCTAACACTGGTCTCCCCGTGAGGGAGTAAGCTCCTGGAGAGGGACTGACATCTTATGTAACTTTACATCCTGACCAAGGATAGGGTGGCACATAGAAGGTAATCAAGAAACTTAAGTGACATTACCAGGCTATCCCATAACAAAGCAATAATCATTACTGAGTTAAAAGATCAACAGTAGATGTTCACCTTGCAAACCAGCTCATCTGGTAGTTTGAACCCTACTCTAGACATTACTAGATCACACTCTGAGCATTAACAAGATCCCAACTGGTTCATTTGCACATGAAATTCTGAGAAACATTTCTAACAACTTTTCTTTGAAAAAATGTGATAAAGCTTTCCCTTATTTTACAAATAAAAGATATGCGACATTATATTACTACTCAAGGTAAAAATTTTTGTGAAGAATCCAAGCAACACTCCACATTTTAATATAGTCTAAAAGTAAGTATGCGTATAGTGTAACACCTTTTTCCTTAGATACCCATTATATTACTATTTTTATAATCTAAGATACTGGCAGCGGTTTTGTTTGCAAGATTAGTAAATTCAAAGAATAAACCAGAAAAATGCATTGCATTATTAATTTTGATGTGCAAAGTTTTGCATTATCTCATTTACCACTTGTGAAGTCCAATGCTCAAATCTTTCCAAAAGAAATGACATTAAAAATCACTTACCTGTGGTGTGTCTTTTTGCATTGATGTAGTAATTTTAAATTTTGTTCTTTTACTGCTAAAGTTCATATTTAATGAAAATGAAGATTCTGCATCAATGTCTTCCTACAATTAAAAATAATTCATTTATGTTTATAAAAATTAAAATAATTAAATAAGAGTTGCTGCAAATAATGTGCCATAAACTTAAATGACTAAGAAGACTAATTTCGCATTATAAAGAATTATTTAAGAGAAAAGTAACTGTCTTCTGTCAAGGAAAGAAAAGAAGCTAAAAACAATTCTAATTTTACACTTGAATTTTAATCTGTTTAGATTTAGAAATAAGCTATTTCCTGGCCCGACTATTATATATAAGCATTGGATAAACAATCATAGCTCATTGGCTTAAATAGAATTTAACATTTTAATTCTTATGAACTACTAGGCTCATAGTTTTTCTATCACCCCATTTTGAAAAAGTGAGCAACCAAATGTCTTTTAAAGTGTTGTAATAACAAAATACAGATTATAAATAACTGGACGACAGAAGCAAGTAGTTTCCAGTGGCACACGTCACCCTGTGTGGTTCTGATGAAGCTTACCCTTGAACTCATGTTTTATTCAGTCTACCTGAAGCATGTGGCCTTTTCTCAAGTTAAAGTTGTTAAGCTAATTTTTATAATCACAACTTCTTTATCAGGCTTAAAAAAGCCACTCTGATCATACAGTGAGTTTTCTTATCAGCAGGATGAAAGAGCACTTGGCAAATGAACTCATTCTCAATAATAAGCTACAAAGTTCTGCTAAGGAATAGCAGATTCATAATTAAAATTTAATGTGCAAACAAGAATCTATATTTTGTACATTCCTGAGCAGCTAAAGTAATACATTTTATAAAACTATACAGCTTCTTAGATACTTAATTTAGCTTACAAATTTAAACAAACTTCAGGTTTTAAAAAAATCATGCTGAACTTATAATTACTTGACTTAATTAAAATATTAAGAATTTAGGGGCGCCTGGGTGGCTCAGTGGGTTAAAGCCTCTGCCTTCGGCTCAGGTCATGATCCCAGGGTCCTGGGATCGAGCCCCGCATCGGGCTCTCTGCTCCGCAGGGAGCCTGCTTCCTCCTCCCTCTCTCTCTGCCTGCCTCTCTGCCTACTTGTGATCTCTGTCTGTCAAATAAATAAATAAAATCTAAAATATATATATATATATATATATATATTATATATATTAAGAATTTAGTATTTTGTTAGGATTCTGAAGTCAGAAAAATTAATCATTTCTCAGTATTAAGAAAAGCTTGATATGAATTTCAGAATATATGCCATTTAAAGCTGTTCAGTTATAGGCTACAAAATACCATCAATTAGGAGCACCTGGATGAAGCAGTTAAGTGTCTGACTCTTGGTTTCACTCAGGTCATGATCTCAGAGTCATGAGACTGAGCCCCATGTTGGGCTCTGCACTCAGCAGGGAGTCTGCTTAGGATTCTCTTCTCCTTCTACCCCTCCCACTCCCTTCAAATAAATCAATCTTAAAAAAAATATCATCAATTAAATGAATTGAAGACAGAAATAGCAGGCTATTAACTTCGCCAAAATAAAAATGACACCTCATTTACAGGAATTTTTTCTTATAGGCACAATTTGGTTTAGGAGATTTAACTCACATCTGTTGCTTCTGAACCACTTAAATATCCAAGACATACTATAACAATAACAAAAACTTGTTACTAGGAAAAAAAGCTAAAAAGAAAAGTATATTACTAGCTTGCTATTCTTGTGACAGGTAGTACAAATACATGGTGGTTATTAGTTGAATGCTGGAATGAAGGGACAGGAGAGTGAGAGCAGTTTGGATGGTCACACAAGCTAACTATGCATACAAATATCAACAGGTGGTCATTTCCTATTACAGAGCCATGTAATAAATATCAATTAAACACAGGAAAAAGTGAAACACTACAGTTTTTAACATCAGTTGATCAGAATCCACCTGATGGCAATTCTTTCACAATTTTCAGTACACTGTCACAGTAAAGGACAAACGAAATCAAACTATAAAGTGCACATAGGCACCAACTTCTCTGTGATTCCAGAAACTCATAGCTATAAGGAGCCTGCAGTATTGTTAGCTGACTCAAGCGCTTTCCAAATTACAAAGGGCATTACCAATTATAACCTCACTTTAAAAACTCAGAAGATCTCATGAAAAAGATACAATGTTAATAATGCTTAAATTCCTTGAAATACCACCCCATACCTTTTCTGAATCATGGTTAATCATTTTCACATCAAGTAATGATTTGATTGTTTTTGTCAGTTCCTTTTCATTCATCTGAGTGCTGTCCTGAAGCTCTTTATAGCTGACAGTTTCACTGTTGTTAAAGGCAAGAAGAACTGCCATTTGGTATGTAGTAACCATGGCTACATATGGTTTGCCCAAATAGTTCATTTTAACTTCACCTACGATAAAAACAAAATTGTAACAATAAACTGATCATTCAAAGAAGCATTTCAAAATTACTTGAGTAATAACTGTTTATTTCAGCTGCTTTCTCCTGAAAGAATGAACCAACGACTTATTAAATTGTTATGAAGCCATTCTTGCTAGCAGTGTAATCAGTTTGTTTGTTTGGGGGGATGGAGGGAGGGCTATTAGTTCTCAGTGTGTAGTATAAATCACAATTAAACTACCATACCTCTACCAGTAGGTAACAATGTCTTTAAATGTTACTAGAAAAGCTATGACTTAGGCAAGAAAAAGCAATTAAGAGGAGGTGAGGGTAGGAGGAGAAATGGGCAGATAGACAATGGGGGAGACGGACAGCTTGCGACCAATAATCACCTCATGTACTTTCTCTATCTGGCAACGTTCAAGCACTCAGGGAGGTCCACAAGCATATAGGAGATGTTTCTCTAATGGCTCTCTCTAACCCACAGTTTCTACTAAAATTTAACAATGCTATTTTGTCCCATTAAACAAACATTAATCCTCCCAGTAACTTCCTAGGGACAAACAATTGGAAGGAGAGACAAAAAGGCAGATCCATTATTTTGTTGAAATAGTTGACAGAATAAAAAAGTTCTAGATTCTACACTACCCTGAAAGCTATGAAGGATACAGCAGGTTTAGGCACACCTAGGGTTCTGCAACATCCCAGGGAGACAGCACACTGAAAAGTTTATAAAAAACAGTATGACAAACATGAATGCACCACAGAGCATGGAAAATAAAAAGCTAATGCACGTCAATGAACTGTTTCCTAAAGTATAAAGCTGTGGTTTACTGACAGTATTTCTTGGGGCACCTGGAAGGCTCAGTTGTTAAGAGTCTGCCTTTGGTTCAGGTCATGATGCCAGTGTCCTAGGATCGAGCCCCGCACTGAGCCCTGCACTGGGCTCCCTGCTCTGCGAAGGCCTGATTCTCCCTTTCCCGCTCCCCCTGCTTGTGTTCCCTTTCTCGCTGTGTGTCTCTCTGTCAAATAAACAAATAAAATCTTTTTTTTTTAAAGGTTTTATTTATTTATTTGACAGACAGAGATCACAAGCAGGCAGAGAGGTAGGCAGAGAGAGGAAGGGAAGCAGGCTCCCCGCTGAGCAGAGAGCCCAATGCGGGGCTCGATCCCAAGACCCCGGGATCATGACCTGAGCCAAAGGCAGAGGCTTTAACCCACTGGGCCACCCAGGCGCCCCAACAAATAAAATCTTTTAAAAAAAGAAATTCCAGTAGCATTTTCATCATTCTCTCATTCAGTAGCTCTGTCACATCTCATAGCATAGTTGCTTACTTCTTAAAATTCTTACCTCTGTTGGTAATATGCTCTCAACATTCTTCTTTGCCTATCTTGGCTAAGTCCTATTCACCCTTGAAAACCAAGTTTAGATGTTATTTACTCAGAAGCTTTCCCTTACCAGTGACTGTCTGCTACCACCAGTCTGTGGGAAACTTTTACCCTGGGCTTGCCTCTCGATTACAATATCCAAAACATTTACCAAAAATATTTACTTGTCTGTTCTCCCATGTACGAGCTTTTTGAGGGCTGAGGCTCTATATTTTATCTGTACTTGGCATACAGCAGTACTAGAATCAAAGAAGATGATCCTCTGAATTGGTAAATGAATTTTCCAAAGATAAAGATGAAGAAATAGGCTCAAAGAAGTTAAGGTTACAGACTAAGCTCAAGGTTACAGACTTAATAGGCTAATAACCCTACATCTTCTGATTCTAACTTCCTCCAAATACCACTTCATACCCCATCTCCAACCATTTGTAAAGACTCCTGGATTACAATACAAAAAATACCTAGAAATGTGGAAATGGACTAGGAAAGAGTAATTTTGATTATATGTGTAAGTATGAACGTTAGGGGTTCTTGAGAAACAGAATTCTAAGTAATCAGTCCAGAAACAGAGCCAATGTTTTAAAGGAGCCCTGGAACCTTATGATAAATGTGAAGACACCAGAACAAGAAGCTTAAAGGTGGACAGTGTTTGAGAACATTTTATTAATGAGTAAATGAATGAGAAACAAAACTAAATAACTAAACTAGATAAACTAAATAACTGACGAATATACAAGGCTAACATCTCTCTTGCAAAGGAATAAACTCTTTGGCTTTAATTAAGATACACATATACAATAGTAAAGTAAGACCCAAAAAATGAACAAACGACAAGTTCCAAAAATCTGGTTATTATGGACCAGCTTAGGAATTTAGTACTATTCAAAAACAGGAAAAGAATGTTGATTTCCTTCCTATTTAGGTGTTAATGGTAACACTTTTCAGGTCAAATTCTATATACTATAGCCTTTTCTTTATTTCTATATACAATTAGTTGCTGAACACCAAAAAAGTGAGCCCCTCACAAAATACTTTAGGAGACAGGCTGATAATTGCTGAGATAATTAGAGAAACAAGGAGAATTTAAACTCCACAAGACATTCAGGGAAGTAAAACTAAATTAAATTCAAGTACATTAAGATGTATTAGAAATTCCTTTAGTTATCTAAAGCAGGGTGAGTGAGGCGCTTGGGGGTGCAGTCAGTTAAGCGTCCAACTCTTGGTTTCAGATCAGATCATGACCTCAGGGCTGTGAGACTGAACCCCATTTTGGGCTTCCTGCTTATCAGGGAATCTGCCTGAGATTCTCTCTTCCTCTCTCCTTCCCACTTGTGCACTCTCTCTCTCTAAAATAAACAGATCTTTAAAAATAAATAAACACAAATAAAACTGGTTGAGCAATTTTTTTCCTTAAAACCGATTATATTTAATAAATGAGTAGAAAAAATTCACAACAGATGTAAAATGAAAGGTCAAGTACAAACTGACCCGCTTATTAAGAATATCATATCTCTTTATTTCACAAACTGCTGAAAAAAAGTTGCCCAACTTGCTTAATACAGATAAACTTGTATAAGTATGTATTACCATGTACCAATTATGTACTAATATGTATTACCAACATAATGACACATTATATTGCAAATATAAATTGGTCAAATAAATGGCACTTAAAAGAAAATAGTTAAAGTTTCTCGTAATGAAATTTCTCTTATGTAAGTGAACAGAATTTCCTAATAAAGGTTATGGCACCTGATTGATCAAATTTTCTTACACCATTTCTAAGAGATATATATACCCTCCTTTCCTTATACAAAGGGAAAGTTGATTCAATGCATTTTCAAAGCATGGCTTTAACAAAAGGAAAGAGAATTTGAGTGTTTGCTTTGGTTAACATCTTCAGGCAACTCAGAGCAACTGCACTCAGTCCACAATCATTCAGGTAGTAATCCTACTATCATATAAGTGTACAACGGTTCCAGAAAGAAGCAAAGGACTGGATTCTAACTAAACTTTTCTAAAATAGAAACTACTGGAAATTAATTGTGACATTTTGGGAAAAGCATTTGCTACTGCAGTGCACAATAATACCACAAATAAAAATCAAATGGTCAGATCTCCTTACAATGCTATAATGGTTACAGAAATTTCCTTGGTGCAGCCACTCTGAAAAACAGTATGGAGGTTCCTCAAAAAGTTGAAAATAGAGCTACCCTATTGACCCAGCAATTGCATTACAGGGTATTTACTTTAAAGATACAAATGTAGTGATCTGAAGGGGCACATGTACCCCAATGTTTATAGCAGCAAAGTCCATAATAGTCAAACTATGGAAAGAGCCTAGATATCCAACAACAGATGAATGGATAAAAAAGATGGGAGATATAGACATATATATATATAATGGAATACTATGCAGCCATCAAAAGAAATGAAATCTTGCCATTTGCAATGACATGGATGGAACTAGAGGGTGTTATGCTTAGTGAAATAAGTCAATTATTGTATCTCTCTGATATGAGGAATTTGAGAAAGAAGACAGAGGATCACAGGGGAAGGGAAGGCAAAATGAAACAAGACAAACCCAGAGAGGGAGACAAACCGTAAGAGACTCTTAATCTCAGGAAACAAACTGAGGGTTGCTGGAAGGGAGGGAGGTGGAAGGATGGGGTGGCTGGGTGATGGACATTGGGGAGGGTATGTGATATGGTGAGGAAAAAAAAAAAGTGAATGGAAAAATGTACACTATTTTGAGGGGGAAAAATCTGAGCCAAGAATAAAGGTGATTAATGATGACAAAAAAAATTTTTTTCTGAGGATTTCTGACATATTTATGGAAACTTTTTTTAGGAGTATCTGACTTGTCAAGTCTTGGTTTCTAGATAAAATCTCTAATGTCTAGATAAACTGGTGTGTTACAGAAATGTAATAAACATTATAAAATTCAGAAACTTTCTTAATAAGCAGTAATAAAATATAAGCAGCATAAATTTATAAGGCACTACTAAAAAGTGCTGAACTTGGGGTGCCTGGGTGGCTCAGTCATTTAAGCATCTGACTTCAACTTGGGTCATGATCCTGGGGTCCTGGGACTGAGCCTTGCTTTGGGCTCCCTGCTCTGTGGGGAGTCTGCTTCTCCCTCTGCCCCTCTCCCTGCTTATGCTCTCTCTCAAATAAATAAATAAAAATCTTTAAAAAAAAAAAGTGCTAAACTTAAACTTCATTAATAGTTGCTTTAATGATAACCAGCAGGGTAGACAGAGGAAAAGAGGTTAAAAGCCATCATTAGGGAAAAAAAATTATCATTAGGCTATAAGAAATCCTTTCCTTTATTATTAAGATATTTATATCAGTAAATTTCACTAGATATAATGAAATGCGTATTACCTGTACAGAGATAATGTAACCACGTAAGTTTCCTTCCACTGAAATGCTGGCTGTAAAATAATTCAAACTGTAAAAAAGAAAAAAAATTATTTTCAGCTACTGTAACATAACTTACTTAGCTATTACACTATTACTACACAAAAAAAGTTGATGTTAGAAAAGACAACCCATCTGGTGTACTTACTCATTTTATAGATGAGAAAACATATCCATGCAAGTCCCTGACCAAGATCATACAAATATTAGTGCAGCTCTTTTCACTTACAATTTTGTCCAGGGTTCTCTCCCTTAAACTACAACCCTCCACATTTGACTTTATGTATAAATTCAGAAATGACAGTCAATGCTTAATTATCAGTTTTGAATGACAGCAATTTGGACTTTATAAATACTAATTACTGACCCAAAACACCATCATATAAATTTCAATATGAAAATGCAAATCATACCTTCATTTTTATTTTCCTATTTGCCAACATATGCCCTTGCTGAAGTGACAGGTTAATATTTCTGTGATTACCTATAAGGTGATAACTACAATTTAATTTCCACATCCAGCCAAACACTAATACAAACAAAGCTTCAAAGTACTCATCTTTGTATCATCTTTTATTGATATTACTGTAAAAAATTTAACATTCTATTAATGTTGCTTTGAAATTAAAAAAACTCCTTCTTTGAATTGAATGTGTAACTGTAGGACATCAATCCAAAACATCTTTCAAAGAGTAAGTCAGTACATAAATAAATAGTGAGAAAATGATACTGAAATGTAAAATAACAACAACAACAAACAAAAAACCAAAACACTCAATATCATTGTAAAACCGAAAAATAAGCAAACACATCATGTCACAATTCAAAATTGTGGACATACTTTCAGAATGATGTGCCACATGTAATATTTACAACTAAAGCTTTTAATTGTATATCAAACCTAACATCCTGTACTCCCATAACAAAATTTCAATAAAGCAATCAGCAATGTTTGACCTGCCAGCCAAAATAGTGAATTTTTTCAGCAGTCCATTCCACGTTTGCTTAGTCCTCGTAAGCTGAAACTTGCTGAGCATGCTTTCCCTCCAATGGTGCAAATCCACCAACCCCCTTGCATAATAAACAGGAAATGACTGACACCTGAAATACTTAGGATTTTCTGCGTGGTTCTAGTCTAGACAAATGAAAATTATGTCATAAAAGTAACCCAGAAGTTGGCTCTAATTAACAACCTCCAAAGGTGTCAATAAAATTCAATTACTACTATGACACTCCTAATTTAATTATGAAACCTTTATAATAACTTTGTGGACAAAAGCAAAATAAAACATTTTGAAACTGAGAAAACCAAATTTTCTAAATTATTTAAGCGCAAGGATGTATATTTCAGGGATCAAGCCCTGCGTCGCGATGTATATTCCAAGCTCTGAAAGCAATGTTTTGCCTCTTTCTACTCCTAGCAACTAGTACTATCATAAAGTTTTAATGATAATGATATAGATAAGCCAGCAGAAAACATTCCTTTACCATTAAATTTTAAATCTGATTACAAAGATTTTCATGTCTATAACTACCCAAGAACAAAAGACTGAGCACCAAATGGAAACATTATAAATTCATCTGGTATTCAAAGACAAATGCTATAAAACCTTGCTTCATTCTATCATTAAACAATTATGTTACCAAAGTTTATTAGTAAAATATATACCTTGCCTAAACTTCTCATTTTAAAATAAATAATTGTCAGGCTAGGACACCATCCTTTAAATACCATGTGAGGGTATTAATTAGAACTCAAAAGGCCTTGGGGGCACCTGGGTGGCTCAGTTGTTAAGCATCTGCCTTCTGCTTTGGTCATGATCCCAGGTACTGGGATCGAGCCCTACATCGGGCTCCCTGCTTGGCAGGAAGCCTGCTTCTCCCTCTCCCACTCCCCCTGCTTATGTTCCCTCTCTTGCTGTCTCTCTCTCTCTCTGTCAAATAAATAAACAAAATCTAAAAAAAAAAAAACCTCAAACGGCCTTAAAAAGTAAAGAATTCATATTCACTTCTAATAAAGAGCTGCATTAATACATAATACTTTATATTTCTTCGGTATTATTCAGATTTGTAGAGCAGGTACAAAGGAAGTACAACAATGAAGATTTATTGGTCTAATATGCAAAATAACTTACTTTTAATTAAAGCTCAATTTCCACAGTTTTAAGATTCATATGTGTAAAACGAAAGTAATTTTTAATACACAGCTATATTTAAGATATAAGATATATAAATGATCATTAAGGCAAGATGAATTAATTTACGTGTGGAAATGTACTCTGTTAAGTACACCAATGGATTCTGAGTCCTAGGTAACTGAACACTTGGATTCACTAGGAAAAAATAGAAGGACAAACTCCCTCTACTGGTAATTAGAAAAAATCCAGATGGAGAGGATAATACTCTTGGAATCATAATTTCATAGTCAGAAAAGAACCCATTATTTGTTTGAAAACGAGGAAACTGAATCCTGATGAAGGTTTATACATTAATAAAAGCTGAAGGGGTTAAAAAAAGTGTTACTGGAAAATGATTATTTCAAGGGGAGAGAGAACAACATAAAGTCAGAAGGAAACTATTTCTGGCAGCAACTATTCTCTGCCTTAATTGCAATTCAAAACCTCAGGCTCTTAAGAAGTAAGTTTTAGTACTGTTAAAGGTGAGTACATCAAAATGCCTTACCTGGCTACTCCAGCTCCTGCCCCTAGCTTGCATCTATTCTTTCTGCAAAACCCATAAAAACCTGCCCACTCAACAGAGTGCTTTTCTTCATATAGTTTTTAAGATGATCATGCTATCATGCCTTTCTAAAGAAGACCCAAGAAGTCCTTAAGTTAGACCCCCTGGTCTGAAAGTCTAATGCTTGGTATCCTGAAATCTACCTGATTATTTATACTTCTCTACTCTCCTATGACCACTACTACTATAACTATTACTTCCTCTCTATCAGCTACCATTTATTGAGTACGTACTATATACCAGGCTAAGTGCTTTACATTATTTCATTTTATTTTTGTATCAACACTCTGAGTAGTCCTATCATCAGAAATATCAAAAAGGTATTTGCCCAAAGTCACAGAGCATAGAAAATGGCAGAATAGACATAGGAAACCAGAAATGATGACTCAGAGTCTACACTGTGTTATTTTCTTTATAATCCTTATTTTAAAAGAAACAGAAAACACACTTGAAAAAAATGACTCAAATAACTGCAAACATCTCTAGGGAATAGTGTAATGAAATACCATTTTCATTTTAAACTTCATAATGTATGCATAATTCACTGGATCACAACCTCAAGTTATTGCCCAAATACGATAAGGAAGATTTCTCTAGAAAAACTGCTATTCAAACTTCCATTGAGTCAAGAAATAAGAAACCTCTTTTGGTGAGTTAGCAAATCAAGGGTCAGTTTCAAGAGAAATGAAAAATGTCCACTCAAAAACCTGTACATGAATGTTCATAGTAGCATTTTCATATACCAAAAAGGTGGAAACAACCCAAATGTCCATCAACCAATGAATGGACAAATAAAATGTGGTACATCTATGCACTGGAACTACTGATACATGCGACAACATGGGATGAACCTTGACATTATGCTAAGTGAATTAAGTTAGTTACAAATGTTAAGACTCTATGTGTCCAGAATAGGCAAATCTACAGAGAAAGAAAGTAGATTGCCTAGGACTGGGAGGGGTGAGGAAGGGTGTTGGGGGAAAACAGAGAATGACTATTAATGGGTAGGGGTTTTGGAGGGGCAATTCTGGGGCAAGAAGAATGTTCTGATACTGTGTGTGTGTCTCGTGGTTGCACAACTGTGAATATACTAAAAAAAACACTGAAACTATACTTTAAATGAATTAATTATATAATGCTATGGTTTGAACATTTGTGTCCCTTCCAAATTCATATGCTAAAATCCTAATGCCCAATATGATAGTAGTAGTAGGAGGTGAGGCCTTTGGGAGGTGCTCAGATCATGAGGGTGGAGCCCTCATAAAAGAGATTAGTGCTTACTATAAAAGAGACCCCACAACCCCTTTTACCATGTGAGGACATAAGAAGTCTGTGACCTGGAGAGGGCCCTCTCCTGACCATGCTAGCATCCTGATCTCAGGTTTCCAGCTCCAGAACTGTGAGAAATACATTTCTGTTGTTTATAAGCTGCCCAGTCTGTGGTATTTTATTAGAGCAACCTCAACAGACTAGGACATCTGATATATTAATCATATCCCAATAAAACTGTAAAGATACAGTGTCTTTAAAAGTTTTATGGTAAGCATTGTAAGGTTTATATTCAGTTGCACTTTAAAGCATTTTTTCTAGATTTCACATTCCATATATACTTACTTAAATTACAGGCCAGAAATAAAAATAACTATTATAAGGGATAAATGTGGAGGCATAAAAATGTCTCCAAATTCAAATGAAAAATTAGAAAATGACTTTTTTAAGTACTGAGTTCTAAACTTTCTTCTAATAATTTCTGTAGTTTAAAACTGCTTAAGAGCAGATTTAATAAAAATAAGAGACACACTTTGACAAAGAACTGTATGACACCCTTAGCATTGTAGTTTTAGTATTAAATAACTACAATATACATTCTTCCTACAAGCAGAAAAACTATCATTTGTGCATATACTTTTATATCATATGAGCCCTTAAGACTTTGGAAATATACTTAAAGTAATATAACATGAAGACTATTATTAAAGTTTCTTTGGTCTTCTAACATATTTCCTGCAAACTTACCATCTGTACACTTTTTTCCAATTCCTGGGGAATTGCAAATGTAGACGAAGGAGCCTGAGTAAGAGGCCATGCACCAGCCTAGAAGGAAAAAAGTTCAACAGATAAACATCTAAATTAAAAGTAAAAATTTGTAAAATGATTTAAGTGACTAAAGCACTATTTTTTTTTACCTTCCTCGAAATGTTGATAAAACCCTCAATATTTCTAACATGACACATTTCATTCTAATTCAATATAACACATAACTTTAGAAGCTACCATCCACTGATTGAAAGAAATGTAATCAGGCATCTACTCATTAATTCTCTGCATCAGAGTATTTGAAATGGTTAATAAATGCCCAGAATGGAACACATACTCATACCTGTAGAACATATATTTGAAAACTAATTCCCAAATCTATTACTGTGTCTTGATTTTTGATAAAATTGTTGAACTTATTGTTGAGATCAGCACTGACACTCATATCTGTATACATCCGATGTAGCTTGCTGGTAAACTCATAACCACAGGCTTGCTGTAAAAGAAAAAAGTTTTCAAAAATATTTGATTAAAAAAGAAAAATAAAAAACCGTATCGATTATTAAGAATGTGTTTCTACTGATAGGCCTATGGTCAAAGGTCCTGCTTATGTATTTACTCCAAAGGCCTATATTATTCATAACCCAAAGCAGCTATTCAAAACAAAACCTTACAAAGATTTTTTCTTCTTCAATGCAGACTAAATGAAAACACAGATTTATAAAACAGTAAATTTCCCTTTAAAACAAAAAGACTTTTCTATAAATTCATGTTTCTTATTTCAACACTACAAAATGCTCCATTTACTGTAAGTAAGATACCTTATGAGGTTTACATATAGTATCAAATACCTAGAAAGATGACTAGGCATATTTGAATCACTAGTCAGTTTCAAAAGGAGGGTACTGGGACGCCTGGGTGGCTCAGTTGGTTAAGCAGCTGCCTTCGGCTCAGGTCATGATCCCAGCGTCCTGGGATCGAGTCCCGCATCGGGCTCCTTGCTCATCAGGGAGCCAGCTTCTCCCTCTGCCTCTGCCTGCCATTCTGTCTGCCTGTGCTTGCTCTCTCTCCCTCTCTCTCTCTGACAAATAAATAAATAAAATCTTTAAAAAAAAAAAAAAAGGAGGGTACTTAGGCATATTTTTAATACCATCTACTGAATAATGAAATCCACTTCCTTGAAATTTTTCAAAACTGTATCATCAGCAGGTCAGAAAATTTGGATCTTTAATCTTGGGATAGAAAATGTTTTGTGTTTAGATTATTTCTTAAAAATCAAAAGGTAGGGCGCCTGGGTGGCTCAGTTGGTTAAGCGACTGCCTTCAGCTCAGGTCATGATCCTGGAGTCCCGGGATCGAGTCCCGCATCGGGCTCCCAGCTCCATGGGGAGTCTGCTTCTCCCTCTGACCTTCTCCTCGCTCATGCTCTCTCTCACTGTCTCTCTCTTCTCTCAAATAAATAAATAAAATGTTTAAAAAAAAAAAATCAAAAGGTAACTACTGAATGGTATATTTAAAAAGGACCACATAGTACATTCAATGACTACTATGTAGGAATTATCAACTACTAAGTAACTCAGAATAAATATGAATCGACTACTATTTCTCTCATACACTAAAATGATGTAAAAATGACCTGAAATTCAATTTCACTCTAAAACTTGTGAAAGGAATAATTTAGGTGTATTCATTCATTAAGTAAATACAAGTCTTTTATAAAGTTAACAGGTTTATATCTTGTGGATGATTCTAAATCAATATATAAAGAAAGATTTTGTCTTTTCAATTCAGTATTTGCAATCCCACCACACAAATATACATTCTATATTTTTTAACCAGACACCTAGTAATGAAATATTTCATTACTACATATAATGCTGCAATGAATATCTTTATGTGCTCATGGAATAATTTCTAGGACATTATCAGATCAAAGGCTTAAATTACCTTTAATTTATTGATCATGGCTTCTTCAGAATCCATAGACATAGATAACCCGTGAATTAAACGTTTTGCCAGCATTCTTGCGTAGAACTGCATTAAAAAATTTTGTTAAAGATTACTTTCTTTCTGATGATTTAAAGTTCAAAACTAAGTCAAAGCTGATTAAAACACAATTAAAGCTTTCTATTAACAACTTACCTTTTGAAAAACATCTTTATCATCAATATACTTGAAAACAGTAATGAAGCTCGTGAGTTTGTCCTCCACTTCATTCTCAGTCATCCCCTTCGCTGACTTCTTTAATAAGTTGTCACAGTACTTAGCAAGCTCAAGTAGAAATTGACAGTAAATTTTAGAAAGGGCCCTTCTGTACATATCATGCCTCAAAGGAGGCAAAGTGGCAACAATACAGAATAAGATCAATGGATAGGGTCTTTGCCATCCTAAAGCTGTTTTAGAAATTATGAACATGCCCCAAAGAACTTAAAATATATTCTCTAAGGTAAAAACAAAACAAAACTAAACAAAACAAAAAACTAGAAATAAGTAAAAAAAAAAACAACTAATCAACGTGTAGAGCCCAATAAAGCACTGATATAATAAAAGTTTCAAAAGAACACCCAGATGAGTTTTGAGAGGCTCTGATAGTTTTTTATATTAAATAAGTACTTTTTAAAAATCTTACAACAACCTCGGTATGTCAGTTTCCTATAAAGGCTATCAAAAATTTACCACACAATTTCCTTTAGATTTCAGATAAAATCAGTAAAATCCCTAGGAGAAGTAATGCAAATTATTCCAAAGCACACATATTTTAAATCCCAAACACTGTGAAATGGAGTATTTTCCCTGTCAGTTTATTCCTTTAGTACACGGTCGATTGCATTCCTTAAATAAATGCCAAATTATACACAAGGTACACAATCGTTTTTATTTTTAATAATTTAATTTCATCTGTTTTTCTGAGAGACACACAAAACCAAATTAATTTGACGCTCTCCTCAGTTTTCTTTTTCTAATACTGATTTTCCATAAGATTACTTTTAAGCAACCATCAAAACTTACCAGTTCAGGTGCTTTGCAAACAGACTTGGGTTCTCTGTAATTTACAACTGATGTGAGGGCCTAAATAAGAAAACAGACCACTAATTAGCCCCCAGTAATGGGGTAAAAGTGCAGCTGGTTCAATATAATATGCTATAATCTGTATATCTAAAAGTTACTGTCTTTCACAAAACACAGCATTCTGATGGTAGTGTGTTCCTGTTTTCATATTTAATGCAGGTTAAATTTCTAACTTTATCCCTCATAATAATTATATAAAAAATTGTATATATTGTTCCTACCGAAAGATAGTCTCTATAATTCATTACTGGTATCTGAACACAGATAAAATAAGACTACATTTTTAAAAATCTTACAATAACCATGTAAAAAATTTATTTTAAAGTATACCAAAATCCAAAAATTTAGAAAACATATTTTTTTTTCAAATATTATTCAGTATAGTACCTTAGTATTATATTTAAAGGAAAAACCAGCACTAAGGAATATTAAAGTTATACAAGCATTTTTTTTAGAAGATACTAATTTATTAGCAATTCCCCCTACGTAGCATACTCATGGGAAATTCAATTCCCATATAATTCAAGCATTCAATTTAATCACTCAGTTATTAATCTAAAAGTTGTATTTCTATTTTGACTTTGTCTAGATTAGAAATCATATACCCAATTAGGAGCCCTCATTCTGAAACTGCCTAAAGAAAACTGTATGTATTTATGTATTAAAAAGTTACCTTATCCAATGCACTCATAAAGTGCTGATCACCATTTAAAACAGTGTTGATAAGTTGAACAAATTTACCATGTACTTCCAAAACTGACTCCACAAATAGTGTTGGCATCTAAAAATATGAAATACAAAGTACAAGATCACCTTTTAAGAAGTTCAAGGATAAAATGAGGCTTACTAAAAAATTGTTTATGTGTGGGGCGCCTGGGTGGCTCAGTGGGTTAAGCCTCTGCCTTCGGCTCAGGTCATGATCTCAGGGTCCTGGGATCGAGTACTGCATCGGGCTCTCTGCTCAGTGGGGAGCCTGCTTCCTTCCCCCTCTCTCTCTCTGCCTGCCTCTCTGCCTACTTGTGATCTCTGACTGTCAAATAAATAAATAAAATCTTTAAAAAAAAATTGTTTATGTGTAAAGTTTTCCCCAAATTAATGTTACACACACACACACACACGCACACACACACAAACCCTCAAAAATGTTTTTAGCTAAGATGACCTGGAAAATCTAAAACTTTAATATTGAAATTAGTCTGTCATTCAACATGAGAAATGCAGGACTGGAGTTGTTCTGCCAGAAGAACCCACTAAAAACACTCCTCTCTACTGGAACACCGTATCTTCAGGCTAACAAGATACAGCCTCTGAACGAACTGCCAGGCCTACCACTTTCACAGAGGATTACATACACCAAAACTGCCTTCAAAGCTACTGAAGGCTGAGAGTGAAAGAAGAGTTAAAAAGCCAGAGTCTGAGAAAACAGAGATCCTTGACCTAAGCAGTACAATTCTCCCACATGTCAGAGGTAAGAAGTATCTAGCAGTGCAAAAGTGAGTTTTTGAACTTAATGGAGGGAACTTTGTCATAAAATTATTTGAGTCTATTACAGATGTATTCTCTTACACGTCCACCCCCTGTCCTTGACACCACGCCCTATGCCTCTTTGCTCAGTATCATTTAGCACCCTAAACCTAAAAGACTAATAACATAAACTAATGGTTTTATTTATGCATTACTGTGGCAGAACATAAAATCACTGAAGTGATCAGCATTTAATAAATGCTCCTGAACAATGATGTCCATATAGAAATTACTGAAATGAAGAGCCAAAGCTCTACTTCAGGAAGAGAAGTAACATTTCACGTCATGTCTATCTTACTGGTTAAGCCATCACTAAAGTAATAACAAAGAAGGTGATACAGCAAGACTTGACGATAGTAACACATTTCGAGAGGAAAGACACTTTGCTGTAAATAGTCATTTAATTGGCAGGGAACTCTTCAGAAAGATGAGTATGAGGGACATGAGGATCACTGCTGGATATTGTGGGTAGCAAGCATATATTTAGGGAAGATTGTTTTAATCTAAATTGTTTCCTGGGCTACCAAATTTGGAGCATATATAAAGAAAGCAAATTGTAACTTGTCTGTATAACCACCGATTAATACCATTACCACTACAATTATTAATGCCAATTACATAGAAACACAATCATTTAGAAACAGCAAACATATTTTTCTGTGAGAAGTTACTTAACAACTGCCCAATGAACACATCAATATGACTAAGAGAAAGCCTATTTCATTCAATGATTTCCTAATAATGTGGTAATTCCAGAATGAGGCCAACTACAGGTTTAAAACATTTTAATAAAGGTATTTCACTTGCTGGGGTGCCTAGGTGGCTCAGTGAGTTAAAGCCTCTGCCTTCGGCTCAGATCATGATCCCAGGATCCTGGGATCAAGCCCCACATCAGCTCTCTGCTCAGTTGGGAGCCTGCTTCCCCCTCTCTCTGTCTCTGCCTGCCTCTCTGCCTACTTCTCTGATCTCTGTCTGTCAAATAAATAAACAAAACCTTAAAACAAACACACAAACAAAAAAAGATGTTTCATTTGCTATCATGGCACGATTTTTCTGGCATTGTTGAAAACAGTAAAGTCAAGAAAAATTCCATTATAATCTGATTAAGAGAAAAATATCCAGTTCCTTATATCACTTACATTTTCCTGAGTAAGATTACTGGTTGCTCTAAGGCCCTCATCATGGATATGATTTTGCAGCTCCTGAATCATATGAGGTAAACCAGTGGACACAGCACGAAGTAACACATACATATTTGCCATGTCTGAAGAGAAAAAGAAGTTTGATTATTAAATTTCCAAAGAGTTCAAAAAATATTTTAATGTATTTGGTAATATATGGTTCAAAATGCAGAATTACAAGAGAATGCAAAGAAAGGGCCCTACACCCATCTCCCGACCATCAACAGGAAAGCAATATTACAGTTAATAACATTTCAAAGATGTTTCACACACATTCAAACAAATATAGTCTTCCCTCTGCCTTTTTACACTAATAGTGTAGCATATTTTGTGTATTATTTGCAACTGCAGAACAAAACATTTTAACTGAAAGATCTTTTTATGTCATCATATAAAGGTAATTTTACAACTGCCTTAGCACCTCCATTATATGGCTATATTAAAATTTCTTAAATATTGATGCAAATTTGTTTTTTTCCAATCCTTGGTATTACAATATTACAATTAATAATCCTGTATATGGACAAAGATATCTGTGGATAGATTCCTGGAAGTGGGACTACTGTGTCAAGAGCTTCATCTTATAGACAGATCCTTATAAAACAGCTCCCAATAATAGGAAGTTCTCTTGCCAACAACATGTAATCAAACATTTTGATCTTTCCCATTGAGAAATGAAAATGATGTCTCAATGCAATGCTTTTTAAACTTCTTATTGAAATATAACAATACACAAAAAGTGTACAAACTATAAGTATATATCTCAATGAATTATCACAAGTGAACACATACATACCCACGTCATCACTGCACAGAGTAAGAAAGAGACATTTCCCACACCTAAATGTTCCTTTCATACCTCTTCCCAATCACTATTCCTCTTGCTCTTCTACACAGGTAATCATTATAATGATTACCAACCAACAGATTAGTTTTGCCTGTTTTGAACTACTTATAAAAATGGAATCAATCATACAATTCCTTCATGTTTGGTTTCTTTTGTTGAACATGTTTATAAGGCTCACCTGCATTTTGTATGTAGCTATAATTGTTCATTTTCACTTCTCTAATAATATTCTATTATAGGAGTATACTGTACTTTATTTTACTGTTATTGGATATTTGAGTTCTTTCTGGTTTGGAACTAATACAAATAATACTGCTATAGACACTCTTGCACCTTTTTGTATATATTTGCATGTAGTTTGGGCAGGGCATTAGGTATCTGGAATTGGAACGGCTGGATCAGAAGATATGTATACATTCAACATTAAGAGTCAATGTCAGTTTTCAAAGTAGTTGCATCAACTTATACTCTGAGTCCACAGTATATAACAACTTTTTACTAGTCTACACACTTCACAACACTAATTATATTCGGTCTTTTAAATTTTATATCAAAATGTGAGTACTGGTATCTTAGTGCAGCTTTTAATTCACATTCTCCTATTTTAATAAGATTGAGGGCCTTTGTATATGTTTACTGGCCACTTGGATATCCTCTATTCTGCAGTACCTATTCAAATTTCTTGACCATTTTGTATTTTGGACATAAACCTTTTTCAGTGATTGCAAATATATTACCCTATGATTGTCTTCTGAATGGTCTTTTAATGATCCAAAAGTTGTTTTTTTGTTTTTAAATGCAGTCCACTTGATCAATCTTTCCCTTTGTGGTCAGTGCTTTTTGTGTCTCATTTAAAATATCTTTCCTTAATTCAAGGTCATGAAGTTACTCTCCTATATTATCTTCTCAGAGTGTTACTGTTTTACATGTAGGTCAAAAGCCTAAAATGTATTGATTGATTCTGTATATGGTGTCTGAGGTAGAGATCAGATTTTACTTTCTCTCAAGAGAACATCCAATAGACTCAGCATTATACTAAAAAGACTTACCTTTCACCCACTGCTCTACTGTGTCACCTTGGTCTCAAATCAAGTACCTATTATGCACGGGTTATTTATAGGCTATTTTATTCCATTGGTCTATTTGTTTACCCTTGCACCAATGTCTCATTGTCCTAATTACTGTGGTTTTATCGTAAGTCATGCCATCCTGCAAAGTCTTCCCATGATAGTCTTCAAGATCGTCTTGATTTTTCTTAGTCTAAGAGTTTAACTTTCAGAATTAAAACAAACGAAAAACCACTTTAGTTTTGAGTAGATTCTTCTGGATCTATAAATCAATGCTACTTTCAATTCAACAATGTTTCATTTTCTGTGTAGGTCTTGCAAGTATCTTGTTACATTTACTCCCTGTTATTTGAAAATTTTTAGTGCTATTTTCTCCTTTAAAAAAAAAAAAAAAATTCAGGCGCCTGGTTGGCTCAGTGGGTTAAACCTCTGCTTTTGGTTCAGGTCATGGTCTCAGGGTCCTGGGACTGAGTCCCACCTTGGGCTCTCTGCTCAGCAGGGAGCCTACATCCCCACCCCACCCCCAATCTCTCTCTGCCTGCCTCTCTGCCTACTTGTGATCTCTCTCTCTCTCTCTGTCAAATAAATAAATAAATAAATAAAATCTTAAAAAAAAAAATTCCATTTTGGAAAGCTGGGTGGCTCAGCAGGTTAAGTGTCTGCCTTAGGCTCAGGCCATGATCTCACGTAGAGCCCCGCATCCGGCTCCTTGCTCAGCAGGGAGACTGCTTCTCCCTTTGCCTGCTGCTCCCCTACCTGTGCTCTCTCTGACAAATAAATAAATAAAATCTTTAAAAAAACAAGTTCCATTCTTTTACTGCTTATAACTAGTATCTCACTATGTCTTTGTTTTGTATTTTCTTCTATTCTGAACGAGATTGAGTATCTGCACATATTTAAAATGTTTATTTCCTTTTCAAGGGTGCCTGGGTGGCTCAGCTGGTTAAAATGTGTATTTCCTTTTCATCTTTGTTTTCCTGCTATTTAGTAGAAACTCTTAATATATTAAGGAAATTAGGCCTTGTGATATGTAAAAATGTACAAACACTTTTTTCTAGTTTTTCTTTTGACTTTGGAATACACTTTGAAAACATACCTTCCCAAAAACAGTCTTTTAAAACAGATTATTAAGAATTGATAAAAAGGCATATTGAATATTTTAGACTAGTACTAAAAATGTTTGAAATCTAAGAAAGCTTGGAGATGTGTAGAAAGTGGATTTATAATTTAATTTCTATTCGTACTCACTGTTTCATATCACATACCATTTTTTTTCTCTTGTCGGATGATATTATGACATTCTGCATGTAAGAACTGTAAGTGGTCTGCTACCATTCGTTGCTGACATTCATGAATCACTTTAGTATATGAACTTGGATGCAAATATTTTCGACATCGAATTTCTTCATCTTTTAATCTACCTAGAACCTTTAGAAATATATTTTTACAGTCAGCAACTATTATGAGGAAAAACCTGTAATACCAGTAAGTAACTTAGATAGCCTAATTTTAATGGTTCAATTAAAGATGGCCAGGTAACAAATAAGGATTATATAACCAATTTAAACCCACATTCCATAAATCATTTTAAATTTTATTTAGGCTATTAGTTATCACCTACATTTTACCAAAATCTCATGAACATGAACTCAAGTTAAGTGGCCTGCATTTTGTCTTCATTTAATAACCTTGATCATGCTATTATATAGGTAACCTAACATGCAACAGTAAAAATGGGTAAAAATTATTAAAAAACCAGAACAGGTGGTCACTTTATGAATATTTAACTATCAAACTAAAAAACAGTTTACATCAACTGGATTAAGTAGATTGATCTAATTATTTTATGTTGGTTCCTTGTCTCATAAAATGTCAATGTAAACAGTATGTACATGATAATTATCAAATTAAAGATTTCATAAACATTTTTTAAAGTCAATTATATTTAGTCATAGTTAAATATGTCAATTAAGAGCTTTAGTAAAGCTTATCCTACATAAGAAACACTGGGCTACCAATAAAACACTGATTAATATTAACAAGAACAAGCTAATGAAGATAACAGCTAGAGAATCTGGCTAATTTCTACCTCAAAACAAAACAACATTCACAATAAAAACCAGCTAGTATAGCACATATACATACAAATGTTTAGACTTGGAAAAGGTTCTGCAATTTGAAGCTATGTAACTAGATTTTCTGAACTCAAATGGTCCCAGAGAACTATGCACAGTTAAGCCTTGGAGAATACTGCCGAGTTTGCGGGGGCATAAGAAGGTAATACTGGAAAGGAAGGTGATGTTGAAAGGGGAAATAATACATCATTCCTGGTTACCTCTCAGATACCTTTTGATGAAAATGAGGCAAAGACTGAAGAGAAACTCACTGTCCTATCTTTCCTACTACACTCCCCTGTGGTGCCAGTAGTCTAGGACAAAGTCACAAAAACCAAAGGCAGGCAAGAAGGTATCTGGACTATAATATGTTCAGTGCATATTTAATCAACTAAGAAAGTAATTTTTGTCAAAAACTTTTGCTTTTGAAAGAAAAACATCCCTTAAAAGGATTATGCCTATTAGTCATTTACGGATTTAATGTTTATGGATTAACTAAATGCAACAGGAATTAGAGTGGGGAGGTGATGGAGGATGAGAAAAGGAAAAAAATTAATGATAATGGAAGGGGACGGGTACATATCAAAAGAAAGGTAGACAAGAGTGGAGTGTCTCAATGCGGGGCTTCAAAGAGCTATAAAAGCACTTACAGCTGGGGAGAAAAGGCTGAAACTACAGGTAAAATAGAGAACGAGAAGTAGGAAGACTACATTAGTCTGTTAATTAAATGAACTACGCTTACAAATGCTATTTCCCAAACATAATTTCCAGTGGCCTTCATTTTAACAGTTTGAGATATAATTTATTTATTGTAGAATTTACCCACTTAAAAATATAATTCAATGGTTTGGGGTATATTACATTATTAGTGTTTTTAAAATTATGGTAAAATATATGTAACATAAAATATGCCATTTTAACCATTTTTGAGTGTGTGATTCGGTTGCATTAATTATACTCATAATGTTGTGCAACTGTCTATTTCTAAAACTTTTTCATCACACCCAAAAAGAACTCTGTAACCATTACACAATAATTCCTCATTCTCTCCTCCCAATAACTTCTTGTCTTTACCTATTCTAGATATTCCATATTCTAGAGAGAAATTCCATGTAAGTGGAATATATAATACTTTTGTCAAGGGCCTCTTTTTGAGAGCCAAATATAACAAGGAGTGTGTGTGTGTGTGTGTGTGTGTGTGTGTGTGTGTGTATTACTGATAATCCATGTGCACTTTTCAGGACTGGATCTAGAACCTTTAACAAGAGTCTAAGAAGCAAAAAGGCTTAAAGCTAAGAGCCACTGACCTGGTATAACCTGTACTTAATAGATGGAGAAAAATGTCCTAGAAGGCTTAACTCGAGGTCCTAGAGCTAATCAGTGACAACAGCAGAAAAGAATTAAAACAACTCAGACTTCTAGATCTGGGTTTTGTGGAATCTGTAACAATGTACTGTTATCTCTTGACCTGTGATCTATGGAGGCCATTCTACAGCTATTCCACTTGAAATACATTATCTTCTTGGCTAAACAAACTAACAAAAATCATTGTATAATAAAATGCCTGGAATTCAATATTGTAAATGAAAAAACCTGGCTAAAAATTTAATACATCTTATACGATGACTGACTTTATAACACAATTATTTCTTTACTAAAAAAAAAGTATACATGGAATTTTTAAATAGTAATCAATATGTGTTGGTTTAAGGAGTAATTAAAATTTCTTGTGGAGGTTTTTCTCAGTCTTCCAAAAACTGAACAGACCAAAACAGTAACCTACCAAGTATTCAGAATTATTAAATTTTTCCTTCCATTTTAAAGAAGGAAAGATAAAAACCCAAACACCTAGCCTCTATGCTAAACACAGATATAATTTATTCTTTTGCCAAGAATGTGAGCATTAATTTTAAAGACAAGCCAATCAAGTAATCAGGATTTATCAAGAAGCATCAACCATGATGAAAATTGGATAGAACTTTTTCCCATGGAGAATGCCATAGCAAGAACAATGACTTATCAATAGGTACTGCATATTAACTATAATTCAGAGTAATGATCAAATAAAAGAAACCTTTTCCACCAAAAAAATGTATTACCTAAGAAAATAAATGTTAAATAAAATCATGTCTTATATATGAGATGATGCAGTTAGCGTAATATGTTCTTTCTTACCTTTTCCATATACTGTGAACAGTTTGATTCTTGTAATAAATTTGAAGCTTCTTGTTTGTAATACTCTCCTGTTTCAGTCAGAAAGGGAGACTCAAAGATTTCCTGATAAAACTAAATAAATCAATTAAAATCACATTTAAAAAATTAGAACAGGTAGTTTAAGAAATTAGAGGTCTGATTATGTTTTTAAAGGAGGCTTTTTACCTTTAAGGGGAATTTTTTCTTATACTGTTCAACATGAACAAAGGAGTTAATAACCCCATGGATTACTTTCTGGTTTGGGTCTTCTCCACCACGATCACTGGAACAAGATACAACAAAAAAAAATATTGAGAATACAAATTATCTATGGAAAAATACCAAAGTATGCCAAAATACGGCTGCTTATTCTACTAATCTAATCAAATTACAAAGCATTTTAAAGGTCAATGCATGCTTGATGCTTAAAAATAATTTTTCATATCAGAGCTGAATTAATACTTATGATAGTTAACATATTATATGTCATTTCAATAAATAATAGCTTTGACTGTTACACTGATACATTTGGTTATATTGACACTAGAATGATACTTATTTAATTTTAGAGTAGACACGAGTCCAGTAAGTTAAGAATATCTGAATTTCATTTACCAAAACTCTATTATTAGATGATTTGGTCTGAGAATTCAGTCTGAACCACTTTAATCTAACAGTATATTCCTCAAAGGTACACTTTATATATTATCACTCACTGAAGGGACTAATACCTGTTGTTCTTTAAGAGATCTGCTAGAGCCACTGAGCTGCTTCCCACTCAAACACGAAGGTATTTTTCTTTTTAGAAATTTAATGAGATATGTTTCTGTATTGCAAAGGAACCTAAAATCATCTCAATTATTCATGTGACATTCGGTAAGTCCTACTTAGCCAAGGCACTATGAGTAACGCAAGTTTTAATCACTATAAGAAATGTACCTGAGTATCAGGCTTTCTAATTACAGAAAGAGGAAAATGAAATAGAAAAAAAGTTTGCCTAAAGCTACTATCTGGCCCCAAGCTGGGAATTTCTGACTCCAGTACTAATGCTCTAATCAAACCACTATGCAGTTGTTAACCTTCCTACTGGCAATCTTTCATCTCATTAAAAAAATTTTTTTTTCTCTGAATTAATGATTATTTTACAAAAAGAGCAACAAGAAGTATATTATCACTATTCCATAGTAAAAACTTCTTGTTCTTTATAGGTAGGATACAGACTTTCTAACATTGTCCCTCCTTGCCTCCATATCATTCCTCAATTATCTGGATAGCCTGGAGAAAGTTTTTTGTACATGAATTAATATGGGTATAGTAATTCTGTATACAGAATCTCAGATACAAAGTCTACATTTTGATATTACTAATAAAAACAATGAGTTTCGGGATGCCTGGGTGGCTCAGTCGATTAAGCCACTGCCTTTGGCTCAGGTCATGATCCCAGGGTCCTGGGATCGAGTCCCACATTGGGCTCCTTGCTCGGGGGGAGCCTGTTTCTCTCTCTGCCTCTGCCTGCCACTCTGCCTGCTTGTGGTCGCTCTCTCTCTCTCTCTCTCTCTGACAAATAAGTAAATAAATAAATAAAATCTTAAAAAAACAAACAAACAATGAGTTTCTCTAAGGCCACAAAGAGTGAGCTCATTTCCTCTACTCATCTTCTATTAGTTCCTTCCTAAACCCAAATTAAATCTAGTGAAATAATGATCTAACCGATCTTATCTATTTGAAACACATTGGGTTTTTTTTCCCCCTTTCAACTTCGCAGGATCAAATAAAAATCAGTCAAGAATGGGAAACATGTGAATATTTGGAAAATCAGGTTACCTAGAATTCTTTTTTCTTTTTAATTTTATTTACTTGACAGAGAGAGACATGGCGAGAGAGGGAACACAAAGAGGGGGAGTGGGAGAGAAGCAGGCCCCCCACCAAAGAGGGAGCCCGACACAGGGCTCAACCCCAGGACCTCAGGATCACGACCTGACCCGAAGGCAAACACCCAATGACTGAGCCACCCAGGTACCCCTAGAATTCTTTTCATTACCAAATCCTATTCTTGTTGCTCAGCACCAGGAAAACTTCCATTCTTGATATTCTCAACACACCTGCCATTTGTTTCTGATCCCAAAAGGCCCAGATAAGCTGGAATCAGGGAACATACTGTCTAAAAGAAACAATGATATTCCCAGTGTTTAAATAACTAAGCTGTCCTCCCTAAAAAGTTAACAACTGCAGAAGTACTGCGGCATAATTATTCAATCACTACATATTTTTATAACTGCATAAAAACATTATAAATATACAGCATTTCTACTGGACTGACAGATAATGAAAATAAACCGTGAAATGATGTTGTTAGAAATATACAAAAGCACTGACTAAATTGGTCATCTGAATAAACTCTAATTTCATCTAAGAACAGAGGTCCCAAGAGATAAACCTTGAGAAAAGAATATAAAGAATTTTTAGAAATATGGTTTATTATTTGATCCTAACAGGACTGTGTGGAAAATGCCTAGAGCAATCATAATGAAACTGCCAATATAATGAAACCACTTAGCTGGGATGATGGGGACTAACAGGAATATTTAGCATAGACCTTAAGGCCAGGATTTTGGAGCCAGACTGTGTGGGTCTGAGCTCTGGCTGCATTAATATGTCACCTTGGGCAAGCATTTCTTAACCTCTTGGTACTCAGATTTCCTCTTCTGTAAAGTGGGGATAATAAAAGTACCTAAACCTCATGGTTGCAAGGATGTGGTAAAGACTAAGCATAATCGGGGCGCCTGGGTGGCTCAGTGGGTTAAGGCCTCTGCTTTTGGCTCGGGTTGTGATCTCAGGGTCCTGGGATCGAGCCCCACGTAGGGCTCTCTGCTCGGCGGGGAGCCTGCTTCCTCCTCTCTCTCTCTCTGCCTGCATCTCTGCCTACTTGTGATCTCTATCTGTCAAGTAAATAAATAAAATCTTTAAAAAAAAAAAAAAAGACTAAGCATAATCCAAGAAAGCATGTAACACGGTCCCTGGTACCTGAGTAAACAATAAACATCACCTATTATTTTTAAGTACTGACAGGAGAAAAATGGAACCACTTTTAATTATTACAGAGGAGAATAAAGCAAGAGACCAAAAGAGACCACAATCACTGATTGGGACTTTAAAATCAAGGCTTTTAAAGAAAACTAAATGAGCTGTTAATTCAAATAGCAGACCGGATTTGTGATAGTCATCAAAAGTTAGGCTGGAACTCTGAAAAGTCCTGATACTGGTATATGACAATGGGCAACTTAATCTTTTAGTGAAACCTTCCTTTCCCCTTATGTTTAAAATGAGACTAGGGTTTCAGCAAACTAAATGCAGTCTCCTGCTCCCACTCTAAATCTGAGAAATGACAAGAAGGATACTTTTTAACACCCCAATGTTGGCAGTAGCCCTTGGACTTAAAGAAACTGAAAAAGATAGAAAGAAGACTGAATAATGTAGGAAAATAAAACGACACACCAAAGTACACAAGACTTTGTGACAAGGAGAGGGTGGGAAGAGAGTGGAGGCAGACAGGCAGAGAAGTGGCAGGGGCTACAAGCTGGATGGCACACAAAGGATGACCAAACCCACTAGGTCATTAGGAGCACAAGCCAGGCTGTCAAGTGAGGCGCCCAGCAGCAGCTGTGTCTGCGTCCCCACTGGAGCAGTAAGTGGTGCGTGAGAGATAGTGAAGCCCAAGAGGAGGGAGACCTCTGCTACCAGACCACTTGCTGCAGCCCTCACTGGAGAAAACCTCCTACTCACCCCTGTTCCCACACCAGGAAGGCATTGGGAAATCATGGGAATGGTTTCCCCTAGGACTGGCAAGATTGCATAAGAGCAAGATTGCTGAGTGGTAAAGAAACAGGCGTTCTCAGACTGTTTGTGGAAGAACAAGCACTTCAGAGGGCAAACTGGCAAAATTCTAAATGCACATACTTTATAACTCCAAACAAACATCTGCATTTTGTGCACAAAAAAAGCAAGAGTTATATTAGTGGTAAAACTGTAAACAAACAAATATACTCTGAGAAGAGCTTAATCAAATGAGGTGGAACCATATCAAATATTAAGTAACAATTTAAAAAGCATGTACTATGCACTAACAGAAAAATTATCAAGATATATAACTGAATAAACAAAGAAGTTAGTGAGCGTATCATTTATGACTGTCTGAAGTTACAAAAAAAGTCACATGAAAAAAGAAAATGATCTCTGTATTGTACTTATGTCGTATGTAAACATAAAAATTCATAGGAATGGGTTTGTAAAGACAGTTAACCAAATAGTAACAGGGATTACCTCCAGATAGAGAAGGACTGAGGAAAGAATCTGGTTCATTCAAAGTTTTTCAAGAAAGCATTTATGTGTCACTTGTGTATTTAAAACTAAGTTTTTCAGGGTGCCTGGGTGGCTCAGTGGGTTAAAGCCTCTGCCTTTGGCTCAGGTCATGATCCCAGGGTCCTGGGATCGAGCCCCGCATCGGGCTGCTCGCTGGGGAGCCTGCTTCCCTTCCTCTCTCTCTGCCTGCCTCTCTGCCTACTTGTGATCTCTGTCTGTCAAATAAATAAATAAAATCTTAAAAAAAAATAAAACTAAGTTTTTCATTAAGTAGCTAATAATAAGGTCTGGGGAAGAAAATGTACAAGGTAAGTCTGGAACATCCTGACACACTAGACAGCAAGGAAGATAGCAAGTATGACTAAAGTCATATGAAAAAGACCATGAGCCAACTAAACAAAGAAAGGCAATTTAAACTTTGATAAAACAATGAATAGAAATGAATCAAATGTATTTAAATCTATAAGTTCATCAGAATATAATGGAGAAAAAAAGCTAGTTAGTCATTTTCTGAGGATAACAGCAAACCAACTTGTTACCTCGACAAGTAAGTAAAGGAAAGAAACAAGCAGTTATTTTATCCTTCCTATATAACCAATGGGTGACCAAATATTATTCCAGGTAAAAATGAAAATTAAATGGCAGAATTAAAATGATAGTTTTACAAACCACAATAAACAAAAAGATGTTGGTATTCAACATCAGCGGCTGCTTACATCCAAAAAAGTGAAAAAACAGATAATATGGAAGAATATCTACAGTTTTGCCAGAGGGACCAATGAGTCTGAGTAAGCCTCTGGGCTACCAATTTGCAGAAATACAGAGGACAAAGGAACATATTTAAATGTGTCTCATGCAAATCAGCAAAATTCAGAGGATGGGAAAGTCTAAAAGATCAAAGGGCCAGGGTTCACCAACAAAGTA